TTTTTGATTATTTTTAAAGCTTAAAATCAGTTGCTTGCACCTTTAACATTCATATGATAAAGAAATTTTCAGTTTTTAAAGTTTAATTTCAAATTAAACATTTTTTGATGATTTTTAAAGCTCAAAATCAGTTGATTTTAGCTTGAACATTCATATGACAAAGAAAAAAATCAATACCCATGAAAAATCATTTTTAAATCAGCAAAACCAGATTTCCCATAGAGCTCAATGTATTTTGAATAAATCAACAATTAAATTAGCCAATGTTAAATTTTTGAATTTATTTTATCAGTATCAAAGATCACACAGAGAAAAACAATTTAGCTGCTTAATTAGTTTCGTTGGCCAATAGATTTGGAGCTACAGTCTAAAAGGTGAAATTTTTAAATTGGAAAATTTCAGTTTTTAAAGTTAAATTTCAAATTAGTCATTTTTTGATGCTTTTGAAAGCTTGAAATCAATTGATTGCAGCTTAAATATTCATATGATAAAGAAAAAACATCAATACCCATGAAAAATTCAGTTTAAATTCAGAAATTTACTTATGAATCTATTTTTATTTTTCTGTTTTTAACATTTTAATGTTTTTACTTTAAACACAGGGGTTCTCGGCATTCCGTCCATTCTACCTGGTGACTAACCTTCTTTTTGTATTTCACCAAAGTGAACTGGAAATCTTGGGAATGGATGGAAATTTTCGTTTCACTTATTTTTACAAAATTGAAGACCCTGAACTTGCTTCTTTATCATCACAGTATCATTTACTTGAGCACAATCAAGATGTGACAGTTTGGCATCTAGATCATGTATTGAATTATTTGCATTTCCTCTATGAAGAGGCACTATTAAACAATAGTGCAACAGTTCAAATAAATCAATATGTTTTCGATTTTGTTATTGATATCCAAGAAGGTTTGGACTCAATATGCAAAGAACTAGCAGCTGAATGGAATTACAATGTATAGACAGTTTCGTGTAATGCATCAATATTGAATACAATTAAGAGATGATGCATGTCCATTGATCAAATTATCAAATGAAATAAAATGAAAATGCCAGTTTTTAAAGTTTAATTTCAATTTAATTTTTTATGATTTTTAAAACTCAAAATCAGTTGTTCTAAGCAGATCATTTGCCTAAGTGTAAGTAATCATTATTAATGTTAATTCCTTTTTGAATCAGCTAAACCAGGTTTCTTATAGCTTTCAATGGATTTCTGGCAAATGGGTAATTCAATTAGCATATTTTGAAATCTTTATTAAATTTTATTGCCAGCCTCTCAGATAAAAAATCAAAGCAAATTGTTAAAGTTTTTGCCTTGACCAATTGATTTGATGCTACAGTTTGAACAGTTTAACAATGAAAATTGCAGTTTATAAAGTTAGATTACAAGGTGCAATTTTGGCTGATTTTAAAGATCAAAACCAGTTGCATTAAGCTCAGACATTCATATGACAAAGAAAAATCATCAATACCCATGATAAATTCAATTTAAAATCAAATGAACCAGATTTCCCATAGCTTCAAATGGGTTTGCTTAATATCTTCACGTTTTAAGTTCATTTAAAATGGGTTATTTGAATTTGTGCTCAACTTATCGATTCTCATGATAACAAACAATTTTTTAATTAGTTCCGTTGACCAATAGATTTTGAGCTAAAGTCTAAAAGGTGAAATTTTTAACATTGAATATTCCAGTTTTTAAAGTTTAATTTCAAATTAAACATTTTTTGATGATTTTTAAAGCTCAAAATCAGTTGATTGAACCTTGAACATTCAAATGACAAAGAAAAAACATCAATACCCATAAAAAATTCAGTTTTAAATCGGCTGAACTAGACTTCCCATAGAGGCTCAATTGATTTGCTGAATATCGTAAATTTATTTGCTAATTTTAAATTTTGGATTTAAATTCATTTTGCGCCTTTCAGTTCGCATAGCAACAATCAAGTTAAGTTGTTAAATTAGTTTCCTTGGACAATAGCTTTGATGCAACAGCCACAACAGTGAGATTTCAAAAATGAAAATTTCAGTTTGCAAGATCTAATTACAATAAGGAATATTTTTTGGTGATTTTCAAAGCTTAAAATCATTTGATTTCAGCTTAGACGTTCATTTGACAAAGTAAAGCATCAACAATTATGTTAAATTTGTTTTTAAACCTGGAAACCCAGATTTTCCATAGAGTTCAATTGACTTGCTGAAAATGGTCAATCAAATTAGCTTATGTTAAATTTTTGATTTAAATTTGTTTCAGTATTTAAGTTCAAATAAAGACAAACAACTTAAGCTGCTTTATTGGTTTCCTCGGACAATAGATTTATTGCTACAGTTTTAACAGTGCAAATTTTAAAAATGAAATTTTCAGTTTTTAAAGTTTAATTTCAAATTAAACAATTTTTGATGATTTTAAAGCTAAAATTCATTTGATTGCACCTTGCAAATTCATATGACAAAGAAAAAAGACCAATACCAATGATGATTTGATCGTCAATTAGCAGAAACCCCTTTTTCTATTGAAACCTATGGACTAAACTGTAATCATTTATTGTCCAGGTTAAATAGCCAGCTATGTTTACATCAAAACACGTAACTTAATATGTCAGTGATGTTATTTGTCTCATAGTTCACGACTTAGAAGCTGCAAAGTAAAATGTTTGAAAATAATTTTTCACTTTGACGGTTACTGTGAACTTCTGATGATACTTTGATCAATTAATCAAACTGAAATTAATTCAACGCTATCCACTCAGTTTTCAAATACAGTAAGAAGACCAATACCCATCATGGTTCAACTGTTGTTTGACAAAAATCCGTTTTTCCATTGGAACCTATGGATTCAACTGTATTCCCACATTGTTCGGGTTATGAAACCAGATAAGTTTATCTTCGCTGAAAGTTAGTTAAGATGGATCGAATGACGCAATAAGATATGTCAGCCAAGTTTCTGTAATCAATAGTTATTGACTTAGAAGCTGAAAAGTAAAATGTCAAAATTAATTTTTTTAATTTGACACTCATAATGAATTTACCATGATATTCAGATCAATTATTCAAGCTGAAATGAAAGCAACTCTATCCATTTAGTTTTCCAATACAGTAAAAAGACCAATACCCATGATGATTTGATCGTCAATTAGCAAAAACCCCTTTTTGTATTGAAACCAATGGACTAAACTGTAATCATCTATTGTCCAGGTTATGAAGCAAGCTGAGTTTATATCAGCTAATAGTTAGTTTAGGTACATCAAAAAACGTAACCTAATATGTCATTGATGTTTCTTTGTTTAACAGTTCAGGAGTTAGAAGCGACAAAGTAAAATGTCAAAATTAATTTCTTCACTTTGACACTCTTCATGAATTTACCATGATATTTAGATCGATTTTTCAAGCTGAAATGAAAGCAACTCTATCCACTTAGTTTCATTATACAGTGAGAAGACCAATACCCATTATGGTTCGACTGTTGTTTGACAAAAATCCGTTTTTCCATTGGAACCTATGGCTTCAACTGTAATCAACTATTAACCAGGGTAAATAGCCATCTATGTTAAGGTTAGCTAAAAGTTAGTTTAGGTACAGCAAAACACGTAATTGAATATGCCAGTCAAGTTCCTGTTATCAATAGTTCACGACTTAGAAGCTGCAAAGTAAAATGAATGAAAAAAATTTTTCACTTTGACGGTCACTGTGAACTTCTAATGATACTTAGATCAATTAATCAAGCTGAAATTAATTCAACGCTATTAACTTAGTTTTCAAATACATTAGCAAGACCAATACCCATGATGATTCGACCGTCAATTAGCAAAAACGCCTTTTTGTATTGAAACCTATGGATTTAACTGTATCCACCCATTGTTCGGGTTATGAAACCAGATAAGTTTATCTTCGCTGAAAGTTAGTTAAGATGGATCGAATCACGTAATAAGATATGTCAGCCAAGTTTCTGTAATCAATAGTTATTGACTTAGAAGCTGAAAAGTAAAATATCAAAATTAATTTTTTTAATTTTACACTCATAATGAATTTACCATGATATTCAGATCAATTATTCAAGCTGAAATGCAAGCAACTCTGTCCATTTAGTTTTCCAATACAGTAAAAAGACCAATACCCATGATGATTTGACAGTGAATTAGCAAAAACCCCTTTTTGTATTGAAACCTATGGACTAAACTGTAATCATTTATTGTCCAGGTTAAATAGCCAGTTATGTTTGCCATTGTTGAAAGTTAGTCTAGGTACATCAAAACACGTAATCTAATATGTCAGTGATGTTTCTTTGTCTAATAGTTCATGACTTAGAAGCTGAAAAGTAAAATGTCAAAATTAATTTTTTCACTTTAACGCTCATCATAAATTTACAATTATATTCAGATCAATTATTCAAGCTAAAATGAAAGCAATTCTATTCAATCAGTTTTCCAATACAGTAAAAAGACCAATACCCATGATGATTCGACCGTCAATAGCCGATCGATAGCAAAAACGCCTTTTTGTATTGGAACCTATGGATTAAACTTTAATCATCCATTGTCCACGTTAAATAGCCAGCTATGTTTGCCTTTTTTTAAAAGTTAGTCTAGGTACATCAAAACACTTAATCTAATATGTCAGTGATGTTTCTTAGTCTAATAGTGCATGACTTAGAAGCTGAAAAGTAAAATGTCCAAATTAGTATTTTGAGTTGGCTTTTGTCCAGGTTGTATCTCTAACTCAGTTTACCATTGCTAATTCGTTTAAGACATCAAAATACGTGATCAAAGTTGTTTTTGAACTAAAGAACATGATTGGTTGTTCAAACAGCCAATACTATGAGTTATTATCGTCTTTCTCTCTTACGTACTGACTACTGATTGCTTCAACAAATTTTGGCTTATTGTCGCTCAATAATTCATTTGTTTTATTCAAACACTTTTTATCATTTTAAAGCTTTATTCATCACTGCAACTTTGAGTTTGTGAGTCATTTTTACCTTTTCACAGTATTTTCTGACTATGAATTTTGAAAAAATTCAGTTTTTAAAAAGTTTTGACCTTCATCCGTCTGAACAATTAACAAATGAAACTCCTATGAGTATCTACGTTGAACCCATTGTTCTCTTGGAAAGACTGAATTTGCCATTGAACAAAATTTGCAAAATTATCAGAGAACCATCGTCATCATCAATACCCTCTCCATCAATACCCTCTCCATCAATACCCTCTCCATCAGCATCAGCATCAGCATCAACATCAACATCAACATCAACATTACCATCATTATCATTACAGCCAACATCAAATACTGATTGCCAAAAAAATATTTATCATGCACCCACCAAACTTTTTTATGCAATATTTTCATTTGGTAACCAAATAAGTTTGGAAAAATATAAGACTGTTTTAAATGAAAACATTATATGTGAAAATCACCTTTATAAGTGTATTTTACATAATGGCAGTTGCCACGAAAAGACGGGGAAAAGTTCCCATAGGAAAATTGTAGAGAATCATATTTCTCCCCACCTTTTTCAATTTAAATGTTTGTATTGCCCAAAAACTTATGGTGTTTATACCAATTTGTATGCTCACCTAAAAAAACATAAAAATATGAAACATGAATAAAGATCCATTTTTTGAGCAGAATATTTAGCTTATTCATCATTTCTTTTGCATGGAATTTTGAATAATCTATGGCAACCTAAGAATCCAGACGTCGTAATCTATTGTCTAGATTATATAGCCATCTATGTTTACCTTTGCTAAAAGTTAGTTTAGTCACATCAAAACACGTATTTAGATATGTAAGTCAAGTTTCTGTTAGAAATTGTTCATGACTTAGAAGCTGAAAAGTTAATTTTTTTAATTTGACACTCATAATGAATTTATGATGATATTATCATGATATTCTGATTAATTAATCAAGTCGAAATGAAATTAACTCTATCTACTTAGTTTTCACATACAGTAAAAAGACCAATACCCATGATGATTTGATCGTCAATTAGCAAAAACCCCTTTTTGTATTGAAACCAATGGACTAAACTGTAATCATCTATTGTCCAGGTTATGAAGCAAGCTGAGTTTATATCAGCTAATAGTTAGTTTAGGTACATCAAAAAACGTAACCTAATATGTCATTGATGTTTCTTTGTTTAACAGTTCAGGAGTTAGAAGCGACAAAGTAAAATGTCAAAATTAATTTTTTCACTCTGACGCTCATCATGAATTTACCATGATATTTAGATCGATTTTTCAAGCTGAAATGAAAGCAACTCTATCCACTTAGTTTCATTATACAGTGAGAAGACCAATACCCATTATGGTTCGACTGTTGTTTGACAAAAATCCGTTTTTCCATTGGAACCTATGGCTTCAACTGTAATCAACTATTAACCAGGGTAAATAGCCATCTATGTTAAGGTTAGCTAAAAGTTAGTTTAGGTACAGCAAAACACGTAATTGAATATGCCAGTCAAGTTCCTGTTATCAATAGTTCACGACTTAGAAGCTGCAAAGTAAAATGAATGAAAAAAATTTTTCACTTTGACGGTCACTGTGAACTTCTAATGATACTTAGATCAATTAATCAAGCTGAAATTAATTCAACGCTATTAACTTAGTTTTCAAATACATTAGCAAGACCAATACCCATGATGATTCGACCGTCAATTAGCAAAAACGCCTTTTTGTATTGAAACCTATGGATTTAACTGTATCCACCCATTGTTCGGGTTATGAAACCAGATAAGTTTATCTTCGCTGAAAGTTAGTTAAGATGGATCGAATCACGTAATAAGATATGTCAGCCAAGTTTCTGTAATCAATAGTTATTGACTTAGAAGCTGAAAAGTAAAATGTCAAAATTAATTTTTTTAATTTGACACTCATAATGAATTTATGATGATATTATCATGATATTCTGATTAATTAATCAAGTCGAAATGAAATTAACTCTATCTACTTAGTTTTCACATACAGTAAAAAGACCAATACCCATGATGATTTGATCGTCAATTAGCAAAAACCCCTTTTTGTATTGAAACCAATGGACTAAACTGTAATCATCTATTGTCCAGGTTATGAAGCAAGCTGAGTTTATATCAGCTAATAGTTAGTTTAGGTACATCAAAAAACGTAACCTAATATGTCATTGATGTTTCTTTGTTTAACAGTTCAGGAGTTAGAAGCGACAAAGTAAAATGTCAAAATTAATTTTTTCACTCTGACGCTCATCATGAATTTACCATGATATTTAGATCGATTTTTCAAGCTGAAATGAAAGCAACTCTATCCACTTAGTTTCATTATACAGTGAGAAGACCAATACCCATTATGATTAGACTCTTGATTAGCAAAAACCAGTTTTTCCATTGGAACCTATGGATTCAACTGTAATCAACTATTAACCAGGGTAAATAGCCATCTATGTTAAGGTTTGCTAAAAGTTGGTTTAGTTACAGCAAAACACGTAATTGAATATGCCAGTCAAGTTCCAGTTATCAATAGTTCACGACTTAGAAGCTGCAAAGTAAAATGTTTGAAAATAATTTTTCACTTTGACGGTTTCTTTTATCGAAATATTTTGAGGAGATAGTGATTAATTTTGGCACAAAACACGTTCTCAGTAATTTTTGTAAGCACGATAAAATTATTTTTTTCATAATTCTTATATTTGTTATGGAATGTTTTCAGAAAAAAGGCCAGCAAGAAATTTTGGACGAAATGGAGATTGATGATCATGTTTTTACACAGGCAGCAACATTTCCTCGCACTCATGATACAACCAATTTGACTGATGAGACAAGCAAAAACAATATGCTTTTGGAAAGAGGTCCATCAAGAGAGCTGTTTAGAATAAATTCGATTTTACTCAGGAATAGAGCTGCAAACGAAGAACATGCAGATGATGAAGTAGTTTATAAAACGCCAAAAAAAATTTTTAAGAGATATCGTAAACAAAAACCAAGAGATTGAAATTGTAATTGTATTCAATAAATGCGAAAAAATTCATCGATTTACAGCCTTTTTGATTATCAGTTTTTAGCTTAGCACTGAGAATTTCATCCGAATATTTCAAAATCTTATATATTCTTAAAGCCTTATCAATGATAATCTATTTGAAATCAATGTAATTTCAGTTCGTATTTGACTAATTTTATCTTATTCATTTTCATTATTTAGAATTTAGCTGAAGCTTATGTACTGGAAATAATGCTGCATAAAAAATGTGAAAAATTGCGAAAAGATTTACTAGCGGCTGGATTTGATTATGTTTCATCATGGAATTGCAATCACACTGGCCCATTTACTGACAGGATTAAGGCCTTTGATACCATGATTGTTCCCAAGGGTCATAAACATAGTTTGATTCTTAAAGATCTAGAATATGTTTCTATGGTTTTTACACATATTATTGATCAAGCTGTTACAAAACGTAACCTTACTGTTAGATGTGATTTGTCGTTTTACTTGATTATTACTCAACCTTATCCCCCTTTGACCACGCAAATGGAATAAACTTTGAGAAATTTGTAATTCTAATTCTCATTTATTTGTGTAATTTAAACATTTCATCGATCATCTAACTTGATCATCTAGATTGATAACTTTTGTAGTTGATAATTTTTGTAGTAAATAATTTGCAACAGAATATTTTTTGCACATAGAGGAAAATGTTTTGAGAGCATTCACATAATGTATATTTATGTTATAGAGAAATTGATTGCATTGTATAATTAGTTTATAACGAAACGGATGCAGTTTTTGTTACTGCGAGTTTAACAATGCTTGATTTTTTATTTCTGATCTGTTTACATTTAATCATTTATTTCTGTGAACAGGGGAATAGCAATCGAGGGCGGCCACGTAGGCGTGGAGTGGCAAGTAATCGAAGGCATTGGCACCGAAGAAATGTTTCCCGCAATGAGCCTATGGAAGAGCAAAATGGAGATGAAAATATTCTCACCCAGCTTGGTGAGAAAGCAGCTTTCTGTCAGCATGTTTCAGATAACCTATTTTCTTACTCTTCGATATCACCAAATTTATGCGAAGATTGTGGCTCTTTGAACTTTGAGCGTGAAAAGTTATCGAATGGAAAGTATAATATTTGTTGCAAAAGTGGCAAAATTCACATTCCAGTGCCAGAATGTCCTACTTTTCTACGAGAATTGTTACAGGGTAGGATTCAGTATTCAGAAAACTTTTTAGAGAATATACGACAGTATAACAGCGCCTTCTCTTTTGTGACTTTCGGTGGTAAATACGAGCCTCCACCAGGGCATGGCCCATTTTTTTATCGAATTTCTGGAACCACATACCATTTGATTAGTTCTCTGGAAGCAAGGAATTTAGGTGGCCAGCTTTACTTTCTTGATATTGAAGAAGCAAATATTCAACGACAACAACATCCTGCTAATAGCTCTCTATCTCAAGTGCTGCTAAACCATATTGGAAACAACCTTTTGGTACTCAATCCGTATGTAACAAGCTACAAAAATATGCACTACATACAACTTCGAGAAAATTTAGATGCGCAGGCGAATAACAGGACACCAAAACGTTTCGGTATCGAATTTTTCAATGAACCAAATGATGATCTTCGGCGAATGAACTTACCCACTGTGTCGGAAATCGCAGCGGTTTTTGAAACAGATGACGGATGTCCTCCTACTTTTCGAAGTTTGAAAATATATCCTACTGCCACAGATAGTCCTAAATATTTGAGTTATTATAGTCCTCATTTAGACCCAATGTGTTATCCTTTGATATGGCCAAAAGGAGAATTAGGTTGGAGAATCGGATTGCAACATCGAAATGGTACAGCTAGAAGAAATACGATTTCACAACGTCAATATTATGCACATCGAATAATGAAAAGGCCAGGGCATTTCAGTGCTGTCATTCATTGCAGAAAACTCTTTCAACAGGTTGTAGTTGACTTTTATTGCAGAATAGAAGCCGGCAGATTGTTATACGTGAGAAAACATCAAAAAGAGTTGAGAGCAGATACATACTCAGGCTTGATGGAGGCTCTACATAATGCAGCTGAAGGTGAAGGTATAAGAGCTGGTAAGGCTGTAATATTACCATCAACTTTCGATGGCAGCCCAAGAAATATGATGATGCGTTACCAAAATGCTATGGCAGTCGTTAGAAAATTTGGTAAGCCTGATTATTTTCTGACAATGACTTGCAATCCAAAGTGGCCTGATTTTGATCAAGTTCTTGAAACTTATGATAAAATTGAACACAGACCTGATCTAATAGTCAGAGTCTTTCATTGTAAAGTTGTCGAACTAAGAGACATGATTGTTGAACAGAAGATTTTCGGATCTGTTACAAATTTGGTTTATGTGATTGAATTCCAAAAACGTGGTCTTCCGCATGTTCATATGCTTTTGGGTGTTGATGATCCATTCAAACCAAGTGACATTGAACGAATTGATCGTGTCGTGTCGGCTGAAATTCCCAATCCAACAGATAATAAACTGCTATATGATTTGGTAAAAAAATTCATGATTCATGGTCCATGTGTCAATTATAATTCCAATAGTCCCTGTATATCGTCTGATGGAACCTGTTCAAAAGGCTTCCCAAAGACAATGAACGAAGAAACATCTATTGAAAGAAGTGGTTTTCCTGCTTATCGAAGACGGAATCAAGGACGGACCATTCAAATGTCAAATGCAGTCCGCCAAATTGATATTGATAATTCATTTATTGTCCCTTATAACGTGCTTCTTCTCAAATATTTTAGATGTCACATAAACGTCGAAATTTGTGCTACCATCAATTCATTGAAGTATCTTTACAAATATTTATTCAAAGGCTATGACCAAACAAATTTACGAGTTGTTGAGACAAGTTCCAGTGATGCTTCAGTTTTAAATTATGATGAAACTGCAAACTTTCAGAATTCAAGATTCGTAGGTGCTACTGAAGCAGCGCACCGGATTCTGGGTATTCCTATGCACTTCAATTTACATACAGTAGTTGATTTACCCGTTCATCTTCCTTCTGAAAACTTCATAACGTTTACAGAAGCAGCAATCGATATTGCTTCAATTCAACGATTAAAATCCACGAAATTGACAGCTTGGTTTAAGGTAAATAGAGAGGAGGGTTGCCAAGAACTTTATCAAGATATGCCAACGAAATATGTTATCGTCAAACAAAGAGTAACAGGTGACCCTGATGCTCCTAAAGAATTTGTATGGAAAAAGAGAGTTAACCACAAAGAAAATGTAATTGGTCGGTTGCATGCAGTATCACCGAAAGATCGAGAAAGATTTTCGTTGAGATTGATACTTCTAAGAGCAAGAGGGGCGAAAAGTCCAGAAGATCTGCGAACCTACAATAATATCGTATACCCGACTTTTGTTGATGCTGCAAAAGCGAGAGGCTTAATATCCAATGATGATGAATGGTATTGTTGTTTATCTGAACTTGAGCCTATTGCGTTCCCATGCCAACTCCGAGAAACATTCGTATATATTTTAATCTTCGCGAATCCAAGCAATGCATTGCAACTATTCGAACGTTTCTTTGAAAGCTTAGCTGAAGATTTTCTAAGGAATCAAACTCTCGAAAACGCACGTCAATCTACATTGATCGCAATCCAATCTATTTTAACGACACATCAAAAAAACGTTGCCGATTTCGGACTTCCTGAAATCAGTATGAATATAGATTTTGATATTGTTATTACAAATGACGAAAGATCGAGATCTCTTGATAATGCTAATTATTCTCTAAGAATGGCAAATGCTGAACAAAAAATTATAATCGAAAGTATTATGAAATCCGTGCATGATGACGGAACAGAGCAACGTCTTTTTTTCCTTGATGGATCTGGAGGTACTGGAAAAACATGGATTTACAATTGTCTCATCGATTTTATTGTAGGTAGTGGTTTAACCGTTGTACCCGTAGCTTGGACAGGTATAGCTGCAACTCTTTTGAAAAATGGAAGAACAGCACATACAAAATTTGGTCTACCTCTCAGTTTCAATGAAACCTCAGTGTCTAGCATTAAATATCAGAGCAAAGAAGCTGAGCAACTTAGAAAAGCGAAAATCATAATTTGGGATGAAGCGTCTATGATCCCTTCAAGAGCATTGATAATTGTCGATGAATTACTGCGAGATTTGACTAGATCTAGCTTACCTTTTGGAGGTAAAGTTTTAGTTTTAGGTGGTGATTTCAAACAAATTCTTCCAGTTGTTAAGAACGGTAACAAAACAGCCATGATAAATAATTGTATCAAAAAATCTCATCTTTGGCCACTTTTCAAAGTTTACAAATTAACCCATAATATGAGAGTTGGTCAAGGTAATGATTCTTTTGTCAGATTTTTATCGAAGATAGGAGATGGTACTTATCCTTTTCTGCCTGCTACTGATTGCGTTGCAATACCAAACGAGTTTATTTTGTCGAATGATATTGATATTGTAACTGCTGTATTTGGAGCAGAAATCAATACAGATATAGTAAATAATCCATTATGTTTTGCAGATAAATCAATATTATGCACAAAGAATATTCACTGTGATGAACTTAATAATCGCATAATTTCAATGATCGATGGCGAAGAAAAAACATACTTAAGCACAAATTGTCTTTGTGATGAAGATCTAGAAAATCGTTGGGACACGCCAACAGAATTTTTAGATAGTCTTGAAATTCCAGCTCTTCCTTTACATGAGTTGAAGCTTAAAAAAGGTGCAATCGTTATGCTTCTCAGAAATTTAAATCTCAATGCAGGTTTGACAAATGGTACAAGATTAGTTATTAAAGAAATGTATAGTCATTCAGTAAAAGCACAAATAATAACCGGACATCGAATAGGATCGGATGTGATTTTGCCTAAAATAGATTTGATTTGCGATGATCCAAATGTATTGCCATTCAAATTCAAAAGGAGACAAATCCCAATAAAACTAGCGTTTGCTGTAACCATTAACAAAGCACAAGGCCAAACCTTGGGAAAAGTAGGTGTTTATCTTCCTGAGCCAGTTTTCACACACGGGCAACTCTATGTAGCTCTATCACGTGTTAAAAATCCAGAAAATTTGAAAATCCAGCTACCTAACAATCATCCAAACGTTCTTTTCAGTAATATTACAAAGAACATTGTGTACAAGGAGATTTTGTAATTGTTTATTGAGCTTATTAAACAAAAGTTTCAAATAAACAGTCAATCAGATGTATTTATGTATGTATTTGCTAATCTATTGAAAAAATCATTATGTATGAGCAACGTTCTTCAAGAGTCTACATAAACTTAAAAAATTTTAAATGAGAGATTTCTAGAGGTTACGAGATTCAATACTATTCAAATTTCAGAAATTTTATCAACTAATTGAATCTTTATGTATTTCATCTTATAAAGTTGCATTCCGTACATACACAGGGCAAAAGAGTTCATTTATTAAGGCTGGGTACGCTTGTATTAATGTAATACAAAATTTAACATTGAAATTAAAGTTAAATCCATATTTCAGGAATGAACATTTATTTATATTGGGAATAAAATGGATACATTCACAAAGAGGCATCAAGATTACTCGACCAATCAAGGTGTCAATTGTTAACTAATGTGTGTATATGAATATTTCACCTCTGGATACGTAATCAGAATGGAATCAGATATTTTTGGATATTTTCTTAATTTAAGATTTCTTTCTCTTTATTTCTTTCTTTCCCAATGAATACTCACAAAATGACTAGAGAGTGATTTACATTTAAATTGATGTAAAAAATTCAAGTGCAATAATGTTATAAGTCTCCATGCTTTATTTATTAGAGACTTCTATCTCTTGGCCTTTAACTTGCCTTCAAACAGAAATAAATAATACACAGTTTATGGTCCACAATTGTAATGTTACAGCAAATTTTGCGACCATTCACCCAAAATTTTGGTGAACAAAAAATCCAATGTTGAATATCTTATTGTTACCATTATATTGGACCGCTGGCTTTATTAATCTCATATTTTGGTAAAGATTAAAGGTGGAATTGATTTTGGACGTCTGATTGAATCATATTCGGCTTCAAACGATATTGTTGATCCAGGTTCACATTCAATCTTGTATTTTTGAACAATACTGACTAGATATAGGAATATTTCAACATTGGCAAAACCCTCTCCAGGACAGTTTCTTTCACCTCCACTGAATGGAGTCAAGAATGGAGGCTTTACAGATTTGGCTCCGTGATCGACCAAAAATCGAGTAGGATCAAATTCATATGGTTTTATCCAAAGAAAGGTATCATGATTAATGGTCCAGAAGTTGACAATGACAGTGGAATCTTTAGGTACATTGAAATTGCCAATTTTCAAATCACGAGTAGCAACACGGAATAAATTAACTGGAACAAGCGAAGCGATTCGATGGACTTCAAAGATGAAAGACATTGTGCTTGGCATCTTAACTCTATCTGAATATTCTGGTAATCTTTCAAAGCCAATTACACTCGCAATTTCCCCTCGTATCTTTTCATAATAATCAGGATTCTGGATCAGGTAAAGAATAGCCCATACAAGTGTTGTCGAGACTGTTTCGCTTCCTGCTTGGTATAAGGAAACGATGTTTGCTCGTAAAGTTTCATCATCAAAAGGTACATTGCCAGATGAATCCTTTCGATTCTTTTGCTCCTGTAAATAACCATGAATATAATCGTCAAAGTCTGTTGTTTGCTTCTTTTTATGTTGATCAATCTCATTCTGCAAGTACTTTGGAAGAGCTTTTGTTTTCTCATGATAATTAACAGGTGCTTCTTTTTTTAGAATCGGCTTCATAAACAATCTTTCAATCCTTGGACGCAATCCTGATGAAAAAGCACCAAACTGAGAGCCAGTGTGTGAAGAAACCATCAATGTATCAATAAGAGTCTGTTTCACAGGATCATCATCCTCAAATCCATGGCCAAGCAACAGGAAAGATATAGTGTTTGTAGCTGATGATAAAAAGGTTTTGTATAAATTTTTAACTGGACCTTTTCCCAGTTTAGGCAAGAATTGTTGAATCTCAGTTTTTATTTTATCATCGAAAGATGATCTAACTTGATCAAGATCATGAAGAACATGGAATGATAATCGTCTATGATCACGCCAATGTGCACCAGATGATTGGATAAAAGATACTCCATGTTTATTGTTACCAAAACCTATTGGCCGAGCCAGCAAATCATCATTTTTAAACACCTCTTTAGCATGATTCCAATCATTTACAACAATAACCGTATCTTTACCCATACTTAAACTATAAACTGGTCCATATTTTTTGGCTAAACGGTCAAGATCTTCATATTCATTGTTTTTCTGCAATAAAGGCAGGTAGCCTACAAAAGGTAATCCCCAAGGTCCAGGTGGAAGGCTGCGGACACGTTTAATTTTTGGCAGTAAATAACTAACAAACCAGAATAAGATGAGTCCAATTGATGCATTAAACAAGAGTTGATATGAGCCAAGATTATCCACTAACCATGATGTCAAAAACATTTTCACAATGGGTTCAGATGAACATTTAACAAGAAACACAAAAATTGAAAATGAATCAAGCACCAAGTAAAAGGTTTATTGTAAAACAGATTGGAAAGTATAAATATTAATGGTTGTTTTCAGTCAACTTTGAACAGTTAGGAGATATAATGAACTAATCTATTTATAAATAGACATAAACAAATCAGTGTGATTATATAAAGATAATTTACATTAATCCAATCATTAAGGTAATGTAAGTAATATGTTCAATAGTTGTAAATACAAGAAAAATAAAAGCTATGTGAGTGGATAAATGATGCGCATAAAATAATCTATTATATTTCTTCAAAGGCTTGAAATTTCTAGTGAGTTGGATGTTACCTGGATTTTTAGATATTTACTCAGCTATTAGATTCTTCAGTCATGATAAACTTTCTATTTTTATTTTTAAGGTGACTTTAAGATGATTCTGGTACTTACAGATTCTGGTCAAACTAGAAACAGTTTACAAGCTATCATTGAAGTGCAAGTTGATTTACCATTCCATCTAATTAGCTGAGTCAAATGACTGGTTTATTTATTGCCTACTACCATGAGTTCATGATTTCTCTTCAATAAAATAAACAAAAAGCAGCATTACACTTTCCGCGTTAGAAAATTATTAGTTTATTATAGAAATTTGTGATCATGCAATTATTATCATGCTTTATAACACATAATGCTTCAATTTTACTCGGAACAGAAGCAACTTATGAGTGTTTTCCTTACCATCAAAAGTGATCTCATTGCATGAATCGATTTATTCAATAAAAATATTCAATTCATTCCACAATTTTTATTGTCTATCATTGATAATGAGAGATCACGTTAAACCAGATTTAAGATGTTAAACTATTCTCATTCAACACCCATTTGCAGTCTTTTATGTTAAAGAATCATTCTCATATGAAACTTAAGTTTTTTCTGATATTTTGGTAAAGATTAACGGTGGAATTGATTTTGGTTTTCTAATTGTTGAATAATGAGCTTCAAACGATAATATTGATCCAGGTTCACATTCAATCTTGTATCTTTGAACAATACTAACAAGATATAAAAATATTTCAATATTGGCAAAACCCTCTCCAGGACAACCTCTTTTGCCTTTACTGAATGGAGTCAAGAATGGAGGCTTAACTGCTTTGGTTCCGTGATCGGTTAAAAATCTACTTGGATCAAATTCATCTGGTTTTATATACAAAAAAGGGTCATGATTAATGGTCCAAAAGTTGACTATGACAGCGGCACCTTTAGGTACACTGAAATTGCCAACTTTTAGATCACAAGTAGCAGCGCGAAATAAATTTACTCCGAGAATCAAAGCAGCTCGATGGACTTCATAGATGAAAGACATTGTCATTGGCATCTGGTTTCTATCCGAATAGTCTGGTAACCTTTCAAAGCCAATTACACTGGCAATTTCACCTCGTATTTTCTCGTAATATTCAGGATACTTGACCAGATAAAGAATAATAGCCCATGTAAGTGTGGTCGAGACTGTTTCGCTTCCTGCTTGGTAAACAGAAACCATATTTGCTTGTAAGGTTTCTTCATCGAAAGGCACATTACTATTCAAATCATTATTTTTCCGCTTCTTTTGCTCCTGTAAATAACCATCAATATAATCATCAAACTCTTTTGATTGCTTCTTCTTATGTTGATCAATCTCATTTTGCATGTACTTTGGAAGAGCTTTTAATTTTTCTTGATAACCAACAGGTGCTTCAATTTCAACAGATCCGTCGGCTTCATGAGCAATCTGTTAATCTTTTGAGGTAAGCCCGATGTGAAAATACTAAATTGAGATCCCATTTGTGCAGCAATCATCAGAGAATCAATAAGCGTCTGTTTCACAGGATCATCAACTGGACCTTTTCCCAGTTTAGGCAAGAATTTTTCAATTTCTTCGATAATTTTATCATCGAAAGATGATTTACCAAACTAGATCACGAAAAAATGTACTGTGTTATGTCTATGAACCCGCCATGGTTCACCAGACATTACAATGAAGGATACAACAGGAGAACCTGCCACATAAGCTTCTGGTCGAGCAAGTAGATCATCATTTTTAAGCACTTCTTTAGCATGATTCCAATCATTTACAACAATAACCGTATCTTTACCCATACTTAAACTATAAACTGGTCCATATTTCTTTGCTAAACGGTCAAGATCTTTATATTCATTGTTTTTCTCCAAAAATGGCAGGTAGCCAACAAAAGGCAATCCCCATGGTCCAGGCGGTAAGGTCAATAAACGCTTGATTGTTGTTATCAAATAAGTAACACAACAGAATGCGATGAGTCCAGTTGATATGTTATAAAAAAGTTGAGATGAGATGAAATTGTTGGAAAGTAATAAGAGCAAAAACATTTCGATTAATGACTCGAAAAAATTAACTGTGAATAAAGTAGTGAACAATTGATGAACTAATATAAAAGCTTTTAAACATTAATTAAATCTATTCTAACCGATGCTAGGAGATGAAATGAACCTCATTCAAATGAACCAAATTCATTTTATATATGCTCAACTTATTCAGATAATCTCATTGAGATTATTTCAGTAGCAATAAAATAGTTCAATTGATGATTCAATGGAGTTTTGAGGAGTACTCATTATCACAAAATAATAATATCTCGCCAATAATAATCACATAATCACATTGATGTAAATTGAAAAACGATAGATACTGAAATGAGTACATGATGATAAAACTAAATTACATATACGAAATACAATATTTTTTTTATCAACAGTTTTCGATTTAAAGATTCTGATTGGCTTTTTGGTCAGTTAAATAACCAGATTTTTACTAAACTGATTTATCAAATGTTTTTTTAATTGCATAACAGAAAAGGAACTCATTTAACAAAAAAACCGTCGCTGTCTAACAATAGATATAATTACTTCGGTTATACTTTGTTTTCTAGAACTGACTCTCAACATATTAACAGATAGTTAAAATATTAAGGAGAGGAACGAGTTTCATTTATAAATGTTATTTCACGTTATTTCAAATATTTTTACTATTCGAGGCTGGAAGCGGAGTCTGAGTCTGTTTTACATTTTTGAGTTATGATAAAAAATAGGCTTAAAAGATAAAACCCCCTGTACATGACTAATACGCTGCACTCTTTTCAATGTGACTGTGCATTATAATTTGTATAAAATGATATAAAACGAAAGTTTTCAATTTTACAAAATGAATTCAAAATACAGAGATATTATATATTAGAATGAGTTCGTAAAAAAAATAATAAATAATACAGTCAGAGTAGCTACAACATGAAAAACAAAAGTAAACAACCAATATTTGAGCGTAATAAACGAAAGAGAAGAAGTATATTATCATTGTACATTCTGTGATTCTTCTCTCAATATCCTCATTATTTCTCACTTGCAAAGATGAAAATAGTAAAAATAGTGAAGTAACAGAAGGCGAATTTGGTATCTGATCAATAATCTGGTATTAACATTTAAGACGCAACTTTATCTATTACGTTTTTCCTGATTTCTTCATCTTGAAGTTGTTCGTAAGTTAAAAGTGAAATTCCAAGTTGATCCTCACGAGTAAATGGTTGGGCCATTTGACGTAGAAACCTTTTTGCAAGTTGAACTCCTTCTTCAATACTTAAATTACACAAAGAATCTTTCAGATGTTCTTGGATCCATTTTGGTAACTTTCCTCTTTTATCGTATCTTGCAAATCTCTGTAAAAAATTAACATAAAACAATGTTACATTTTCATCTAGTCACTGAGAATAGGGTTTGAATTATCATTCAATATATTCTTACCTTATCTGCAAAGCACATAATACCATAATCTGTTTTACCACGCAGAGCACGACCAACACATTGAGCAGCATGTCTCATGGCATCAAAAGTTAGGAAATCATTCTCTCGAATTTGATAGTTATCTCGTAGATATTCAAGACGAGCTTTCAATATTCTGGATTGAGTATACACGTAAGGGATTCCAAACATAATGACACATCGTCCTAAATGATGATCGAAATCAACACCTTCAGAAACTTTACCACGAGCAACAGAAAGTAAAACGGCTCCACGTCCATTTTCACAAGCTTTCACATAGTTGTAGAGAGCAAGACTAGTTTCAGCGGCATCGGTTGTTTCGATAAAGAGCAATTTCTTTCTCAACAATGAGTCAATAATACCTTGCTCATACCATGATGCAACCACAGTTTCCAAGTAAGCATAACTGGGGAAAAAGGCCACTAATCCATCGGGTACAACACCAGCCATTTCAACAAGAAGAATACCAAAATTACGAATCACAGCAATATCATTACGAGATTCAAATTTAGAAGACATTGAGACTTGGTCATTTCCTTTGGCTACAATCATAGGAAAAATGCATTGTCGAGCTAGCGTCATTGTTAAAGAGGTTGTAATTACTGGACGGAAGTCTAATATTTTCGGATACATGTCCAATGGCGAAAGAGTACCAGAAGTAATGATGACTGTTTGGAAACGATTAAAAACAGGTTTAATAGCAAGAGATGCATCCATGCAGCTAAAATGTAAAATTGGATTAGAAATGGTTGGTGTACGATCATCAAATGGTTCGATGATCAAACTGAATCCTTTTGTATAAGTTGCTATCAAAGTTGCAAAATTACAGATAGTAACTAGAGGTGAAAAGTCAGTTATCTCAGTGATTTCCAGAGTTTTTATGAGCGATCTTAATCTTTCGCTACAAAATTTTAAAGGTTTTCTCTCAATGAAAACTTTTTGAGAAATGTCTCGTAAGAATCCAGCTGGACTTTCTTGTATCACATGCTGAGTCCTTAATCTTGTCTTAATATATTCCAAAAGTCTTTTGAGAAAGTTGACAAAATGTTCTGCTGTACGGATGTTTCCCGGAATGGCTTCTTGTAATATATCATCAGGAAGAGTGGGATTGGCTAAAATTTGCTCATTTTCACGGGCAATGTTCGCTTCTCTCAGCCCTTGGACTAATCGATTGTATTCGTTTTTTAATCTTTCTTCGTCAGCTTCCCGGATACCTTGAATTGTTGAAGCGAGTGCATTTATATTAGCTTGTCCCCGGTCTATAGTTCGCTTGGTAATGGTCACCGACATTGATTCAATACAGACGTTATCTATATTGTGAGCTTCGTCAAAAACTACAATTGAGTTGCGAGACATTTCTTTAGAGACTAAGTCAGCAATCTTTGGGTCTAAAAGATAGTAGTAGCTGTAAACAATAACATTTGCATAAGACATCGCATAACGTGCCATAAAATACGGACAATATCCTTTATCTTTACCAAATTCCTTAAGATCATCAATGGAGTAAACACCAGAGGGTAAAGGAGCTTCTCTTCCGATTGTGTCAAATTTTTCAAAAAAATTACATGCTTCAACTTCTGGATCACTTTTGGCCATCTCACGTTTATGACTTGCAGTTAAAGCATAACATTTACCATCTACAACTTTACCATCACGTTCTTTACTAACCGTTGGGTGAATACATAAATTTTTCCGACTGGTTAAACATAAACCAACGAATAAATCATTTGCTTTACCATATTTTTCATAATATTTTCGCAATCGCTTCAATTCTGCGACACACTTTTCAATTTCGGGAACCGTACGCGAACAGTAGATGAGCTTATTGACATGATATGGATGGGCTCTTTGGTAAGCGATAATCAATGACAATAAAGATGCGGTTTTGCCGGTTCCTGAAGGCATTTCAAGCAATCCATGTCCTTTACTGTCAATAGCTTTTTTCAATTCACACATGTAGGTATACTGTTCCGGATAGATATAGTCATAAGGAAAAAGCACTTCCAGTCCATCAATTTCCAATTTCATGGTGAACCAGTTGCTTTAATAGCGATAAACAAGATAAACAAACAAATAATACAACAACAAGAATTACATGTGATTTTCAATCAACTGATATCGCGCTATGAGCAAAAGAGTAAAAAAATCAAGGTCTACTAAAACTGCAATAGATGGAAGCACCAGTCAAATTTGGGTAAATTAACTTTCAATAAATTAACAAAAACTGATTAATAAATCATTAAGATTATAAATGAAAGAAAAATCTAGATGAAATCTTCATAAAAGGTGTTATTGATTAAAAATTAGTGAAATACACTTTCAATAACAAGATTTACCTTACCCTTGAAATTTATTTGGACAAAGTGTTTCAAATTTTTGTTAACTGTTTATTAAATTATGAGTTTGATTGCTTTTACGGGTAACCAGCAACAATTTGATCCTAAACCATTAATAGCTGATTCAATTTGCACTAAATTTTCTCACCATAATCTAATTAAACTGTCATGGTTAATTGGTACTCAATACTTGTCAAAACTGTACTTGGGACAAAAAGTGCACCAGAAACCTTTCCTGTAATACCGAGAGAGAAATCAGTTGATGAATCAAAAATTTTCACTGTTTAACGTTATTCGAGCAACCTTGATGGAACAGTTTTCTTGGAATATAAAAAAAAGGTAAAAAAATATCAAATAAATTGATAAAATAGTGCGAGGAAAACTTGTTTTGAACTTGTTTTTTGTGCTCCTACCTTTCCCTACCTTCCGAAGGTAGGGAAAGGCCACAATTGGTTGGTTTTTTTGCTGGGTCGGCCATTTGTGAGGGAGAAGATTTTCTCCCTCACTCTGCATAAAATGGCCGACATTTTCTTTGTTGGAGCGCGAAATAGCCACCCGCGGAAGCCCTATCCGACTGTAGTCTGAATTGATGAAGTTTAAGTGTAATCTTCAAGTATTGTATAACCACAACACCTTTCATCTTTAACTCACCAAATAGTGATTCACCTTATCAGGAAAGTGACTTAATCAACGTAAATAGTGACATCCACTGCGGATCAACAGTGTGGGACTAAACGATCCTCTGTGTTGGGTGATTTGAACCTAAGTAGACTAGGTGGTTAACCGGTGAATTGTGCAGCTAAATTTAGTTAATAAACAATGAATCTCACCAAGAATCTCGGCCTGACAACTAAATGACCAATTGTGAATCTCAAATCCTAACCTCCTTTTACCTTTATTAATTATCTTCACTAAGTTGTAATTTCTCAAATAAAATTGTATTTCCTAATAATAAATATTGAGTTAAAATCCACCATTGGACCAGCTTAAACAGCATTTACCCTCCAGTTTTTGGCACCCGCGCGGGGATACATTCATATTGGTCCTGGTATCTTTGGTTTTGGTATAAACAGCTTTCATTGGCACTACCTACTCGGATTGTATGAGGCAAGAAAGTTAAGTAAAATTTTGGTTTAACAACTAAACTATAAATATATGAATAGCAGTAGTCAATTACTTATTGACTCTATTGCCTCACCAAGAAAATTTAAACAACAACATAGTTGAAATAATCAGCAATTATTTGTGATTAATTTCTACAATAATAATTAGACTGCTCAGTATTGACTCAAAATAAATTTACCTTCAATTATCGAAGTACAAGGATAATTCTAACAGTCTATTATACTAATAGCTGCTTGGATTTGATATTTGGAAGGTAGTACTAATAACTAATTTAAGAATGTACTAAGGAAATGAAATTTCAAACAGCCAGATAAATAGATAGGTTATAGTGAAAACTCTACTTAAAATTAACAGCTTAATAATCAATCTGATTTCATATAATGAATAGCCAGCCCAACTATATGACCTCAATATTCATCCCACAAGTAACCTTGTTTAAGGATAGAATTGAGTACATGATCTAAATCCTTCAACCTAAATCAATGACCTAAAATTTTAAGACTCAAATGAAAGAAGTTATAGAAACAAATAAAACCCGGTGACTGGGTTATCACATTAATTTAAATCTAACTAAATAAAACCAATTAATATGAATAGTTAAATGAATCAACTCGTTAGTATTGACTGAATTAACGATTAACAAGTATTGAACTGAGGGTTATATGAATTGAAGTAATACTTATCGAACTGATGGCTTAATCGAAATGAAATAACTGAATTATAACAAATTGAACTGAACCAATTAAACTAATTAAACTGAATTGAAGTATTTAACTGAAGCTAATTAACTACTCAAAATAAAATAAATGAATGGAATTAACTAAATGAAAGGAATTAACTGACGATTTAAGCCGAGTTACATTAACGATAACTGAATTAAGTTTAGACAACTAACCAGATTAAATCAATGATTTACTGAATTGAATTAACCGATTAAAACTGCATAAATTTAATTGAATTAAGAGATTGATTAAACTGAATTGACTGAATCAACCATAACTGAATTAACTAGATTAATTAGATTAATGAACTGATTAAGGATTAAGGTGATTAATTGAATGAACCAATTGATTAAAACTGAATAGAATTTGGTTGAATTAAAGCATCTGATTAAATCTGAATTAAACTGAATGAAACTGAATTGAATCAACTAATTAAACTGAATTAATTGAATTGAATCAACTAATTAAACTAAATTAAACTGAATTGAATCAACTAATTAAACTGAATGAAACTGAATTGAATCAACTAATTAAACTGAATTAATTGAATTGAATCAACTAATTAAACTGAATTAAACTGAATTGAATCAACTAATTAAACTGAATTAAACTGAATCGAATCAACTGATTAAACTGAATTAACTAAATTTAATCAACTGATTAAACTGAATTAACTGAATTGAATCAACTGATTAGAATTGATTGAATTCATTATTGAGAATTAATTTAAGTAAATGATTAAACTAAATTAATTAATTAAACTGAACTAAATTAACTGGTTAAGCTGATGATAAGCCCAACTACAATAATATTTTTCATTGATAGTGAAATAGTTATTCAAGTATTTCTACCTTTAAGCATATTATTAATAGTTTTGTACTACCTTATGAACATTATTGCATTAGAATCAAACTAAAACCCGGTGATTGGGTGCATTGTGTATCACTCGGTGATGAGTGAGCAAAAGAAAAATGTGTAAAACCTTTTGTTGTTTTATCATTTTAGTATTTTGGATTCTTGTAGGAATTTTAGTATGGAGGACAAAATATATGAAATTCAGTTAAACTCTTATAATTCATTAGAGGATTCAGAATCTGAAGAAAATCATTTAACTTTTACTATTAATGAATCAAGCATTAACGTAATAGTTTTAATTCTTATAACTTCACCAATTTTAATACTCATTTACAAGATTTTTGCTGACATTTACTATATGTACACAGTTTATCATCAGCCAGCTTAAGTAAAAATTAATTAAGATGTTAGCAAACGAAGAAACGAAAGTAAGCACTATGACTAAAAAGTCAAAAGAACGTCAACCAGTTAATCAATTTATTCACATAAGTAACTTCTCTGGAGATGATGAAGGAGAAGATCTACTTGAATGGTTAGAGTCATTCGAAGCTTCTGCTGCTGCCTTAGAATGGGATGATGAAACAAAATTAAAAGCTCTTCCAGCTTATTTAACTGGAACCGCCGCAAAGTGGTATAGATGCTGCATTAAAACTCTTGAGGAAAAAGAGAAACCTGACACGTTTGCTAAATTGCAAGCAAAAATGGTTAAAGGGTTAGCCCCTTCCAATTACAGAAATAGTTTGATGAGGGAACTAAATGAGAAAAGGCAACAGCCTGGTCAGTCAGCTTTTGCTTATGCTTACGATATTAGGGACTTATGTCGAAAAATAAATCCAAAAATGGATGAAAATTTAGTTCATAGTTTTATCCATAGAGGATTAAATCCAGCAGTCAAGACTCGAATGGACTTATTATCAACTAATAATGATTTAGATTTTGACACTAGATTGTCTCATGCCGAGAGATCGGTGGGAGAAATAAAATTCTTAGAGGATAGTGGTGAAGATCACCCTCTACATAAACAAATCAGTTCATTAACTGAACAACTAACCAATCTAACTGAACAATTTGAATGTATTCAAATGAATTTAGAATCTAGAAGAAGAGAAAGAGATTACAGTCGAAACGATAATCGATATCGACAAACAACCTATCAATATCAGGCCCCACAGCCTCGACCAACCTATCAACCACGTTATCCAAACCACTCGTATGCAAACCAATCTTATCCAAACCAACCTTATCAGAACAGGTATCAACCTCGATACCAACCTCACTATACACAAACTGAACCCAAAAGAGTAAATTTCACTCCAGACGAAAACTCAATGAACCTCAATCAAAGCTTACACTGTTACCAGTGTAATGGTGTAGGGCATAAGAAAACTGATTGCCCAAGTAGACCAGTAGCACCTAGAAGTGCTGGTTGGTCAAGGGAGACCAATGTTGGAGAATCTTGGCGTTCTCCACATTATTCTCGAAGACAAGCTTATGAAGAACAACCTCAGACTTCTTCTAGCTATCGAAGAAGGGGTTACACCCCTGATAAAAATTTGAGTAAATCTCCTCCAAGATCAATGCGACCTCCAAGAGAAGAATCGCCTTCAACTTCCACAGCACGTAGACGATACCGATCGCCTAGCCCTAGAGCTAGACGTAGATCTAAATCAAGATCTAAATCTCCTACCAATGAAAGGAAAACAAAAATAGTAAAAGCAGTTTATAGAGGATATTCAGATGAAGAAGATGATGATGACGGTGATGTCAGAAGACAAGTTTTGTCCATCATTAGTAAAATCCATAAACGCAAAAGAGATCTAACTTTTGCAAACATGAAAATAAAAGGTAAAACTGTTGAGTGCCTCGTTGACACAGGATCACAAATCACAATCCTCACTAAAGAAATAATTAATAAGTTAGAACTAGACTATTCAAAATATAAAGGTCCAACAAATTTAACAGCAGGAAATGCTCCTTTGAATGTTCTAGGTGAAACTTACCAGAACATTATTATTTATGATGCAATGAATGAAGTGGAAATAAAAACTCCAATAATCATTTTGAATCAACTTCCTTGCAACATCAAAGGAATAATTGGATTTGATGTT